AAATAAAAAAGGCTGAAAATTATTTCACAACGGTTTGTTATTTCCAAACAACTATACATCTAAAGTAACATTACTTTCCTAGTTACACACAAAAATAAATAAAAGGTGATTTCAATTATTGGACTAAACTTTTTTTTAATGATTAGTAATTAGCTAAAAAAAAAATTGCATTACTTCAGTAACACATTCAAAACTTCAAAACCAAACAAATTATATAACATTTGGAGTAGAACATATAAAAAAAAATTGGAGACCATATCTTTGCTCCTAATTGTCCGATTTTAACGATTTATTTTAGGAAATTCCGTAAACTTTTAAAAAATCATTACAATATCGACAAAAAAGTGTATACTTTTTGCGTTACTCGGAATTAAATTTTACCATCCCTCTTAACTTTTTCCCAGCTTCTTTTCGTTTAAGTATGTTATATAGATAAATTTAAAGGGCGTCAAGAAAATGAATTTAGCGAAGTTTCATTGAATTTTCATCGGTACATTCGCTTAGGAGCTACAGTTTATAGCAACGCAGGTTTTTCGGCCGCCATTTTGAAAGTAAAAGGCAGATAGTAATGTCCATGAAGGAGGATCATTCTCGTGTGACCTCTAATTCTATACCCAAGTTTGAAGAAAATTGGTCCAGTAGTTTCGGAGAAAATGCGCGGACGGCGGACGGAAAAAAATTTTTATTCGTTTTTCGAATTCTACGCATCCTAAAACGAGAAACCTCAAATTTTGAGAGGGGGTTAAGTTTTTGAATTTTTTCGGTCGATCACAATGGTTCATTATTAAAAATAATAAACCGAAAACTAAGGGGTGTTTTTACTTCCATCGTGTGGGCTAAGGCCCACACGATGGAAGTAAAAACATCAACAAGGCGATATCAGTAATATAAAATATAAATTATAAATAATAGTTCATTATAAAGAGGAAGAAAGCTGAACAATTTCCTCACTTATGGTATGCTGGTCCGATTTTCAATTTCCAAGATATTTTAATCCGTGTCTTAAATTAAACTTGTTATCTTTTGGTTTTCGACAATATTTTTTCCCTTTTCGCTTCCCTTCTCGTGTTAAGACACAATCTTGAATAATAGCTCATTACAAAGAAGATGATAGATGAACATTTCCCTTGCTTACAATATGTAAGTCTGATTTTTAGTTTTTGAGATATTTTAATCCATATGCATAAACAATTAGTTGAATGTAACCGACTTTAGCCGAGCGTTACACATCGAAAATCTGATGGCTCTATCTAATTCAATCTTCACAAAAAAGTGCAAAACGTGCCTAAAGAAGTTCTAACTTCAATAAATAAAATATAGAACACGTCCATCCGAGACTAACACGAGGAAATAATGACGCTGAAACTGACGTAACTGGGTCATCATCATTTAAAGCGTCAGTTTGCTATTCCCAGGTATTAAGACCTTGCTGACATTCCCAAAATAACAACATTGGAAGAATTATGCAAATTATCGCTACTGTTAGTCCAAAAGGTCGCATATGACAATCTTTTATGTTAATTCTATTTATGCTAAAGGTGACATTTTGTATGCTGTAAGGTGACAACTGCAATAAATAGTATGCTAATATGGAAAATAGTATAAATAAAATGTAAAATTATACTTTTTTGCTTCCTCAGTACCGAAAGTAGGAAAGCATTGTATTCGTGCGAGAGGTTAAAAAAATTATGTCCTCAGAATCGAAAATCTCCACTCGCGTTTTACGTTTAGGGCATCAAGGATCATATTTGGTTAGGTGTCTAGTTTTCGATCTGTCTGTAGTCAAATCGATGTGACGGACATATCACCTATTATTGTCCATCCGATGTTTATGAAATATTCAGGGATTGTGCGGGCTGTTGTCTAGATGGTCACATATGAATTTTATCAAATTCCATTCAGCACTTATGTTCGCGCAAACGTATTTTTTTTTTTAATATGCCAATATTTCAGAAATAGCTCGTTCAATATGGATCAAAATTAAATAAAAGGTAGATATTGTTGAAAAAATAATGTAGTGTCAATTTTATTGAATCATGTCCATTACTTTCTCTTATACATGCGCATACGGGTTTTCCTTGATACGTTTAAATCTCTAAAACCGCCAGTTCGATTTGGCTCAAATTTAGAGGAATATTAGGGATCGGTAAACAGATAACGAAGTACGTATTAATTTTATCAAATTCTATCCAATACTCCAAAGAAACATACTTCCCTTTCAGATCTGAATTTTTATTGTTAGACACGCCTATAATTCGCGCATTCGAATTGACCCAAACATTGAGGAAATTTGGAGAATAGTATATTAAATTACCTGGTATCAGTTTCATTGGATTCCATTTAATAATTGAAATTAATATAAATAATTGTAAACTATATAATGGCTGTGAAATGTGGAAGGCATTGATCATCTGGAGCGGGAGTTAGGTTAAGACAATATTTTTTGGGTTATAACATTTTAGATTTTATTAACAAAGTTAATTTATACTGTATTGTTTAATCGATTCCAAACGTTATTGGTATGGCGCTTACTTCTCTTGCTTTGATTTCGTTTAATTTTCAGTAAATTGAAATTAATTTTTACTCTGAGTTTGTATAAAAAAAAAAAAGCATTATTTGTGGTCGTGTTTGTTTCTATTGAAGTTCAACTAGCTCATAGTGGTATCGATTTTCTCCTTAAATATCAAAGTTAACTGCAATATAAAAAGATGTGTGAAGTAAATATCACTACTGTTAGTGCAAAATGTCGTATATTAATATCTTCAACTATTATCCTAGTTGTACAAGATGATATTTTGTAGTCTACAACTGTTATAAGCAGCTTGCTAAAATGGAAAATAGCAAAGAGCATTAAAATATGAACTTATATTAATAAATCATAAAGAAACAATTAGTTTTTATGCTCTCCAGTAAAACATTAAATTTTTACATACGGTCTTTTGCACTAACATTAGTGATATTATTGTTAGGTACATTGGAATTTTTTAGTATTTTAGTATTTTTTTAGTATTTTCGTATTTATTATTAGTATTTTTTGGAATTTTGTTAGGCACATTTTAGTATTCAATGAACAAAACTATCAAATCCGTATATGAAGGAATACTGAATTTCCAAAAAAGGTTTCTTCCAGAGATTTTGTTCTCATACGAAAAATGTTAGACCTTGTGACATAGATATTTGTTAGCCAATGAAAACGGTGAGGAAGCTATACTGACCTTACTTGGCAACTTTTTTTTTCTGTTGCATTACAGATCATGTAGGTCTTTTGCTGCCTTAACGAGCCTGCTCCATCGCTGCCTGTCTTGGACTATTTCTTTCCATTTATCTGCATTGCAGCTCTATTGCATCTTAGTTAAATCAGTCTATCCATCTTTTTTTTTTTAGCCTTCCACGTAGTCTTTTGCCTTCTGTTGAAGCATTCATTGTTAGTTAGTATAAAATTATTCTGATAAATCATGAAGAAATAATCAGTTTTTGTGTTGTTGTTTTTTTTTTTGTTGTAAGAAACTCAATTTTTACATACCACCTTTTACACTAACATTAGCGCTTTGTAATTTATAGATATGTAAATACAAAGCTTCTTTCTTGTTGTGGAAGATGTTGTGGAAATTTTCCTATAATATTACATAGCTCTCTTTTATATATATTTTAACGCAAAACAAAACACAAGCGAAACCACAGTAACTGTAGGATTCTTACAAACATACAATTTCAAAATTACAATAGTAACATACAATTACAAAATTCTAACATTTTCTATATTAGATCACATGTATATTGCACATATTGTTAACACACCAGTATTGCCCCTACTACAGTAACCAAGCCTTAATTTTAAAACTAAGCAATCGATTAGAAAACAAAATATTTAATTGTAAAATAATCGTGACATTTTGTTAGAGACAAATAAAATATTTATTAAGTTTAATAATTACTTTGTTCGACAATTTAGTTTAGAAGTCCCGATCCTTCTCGAGCTAAAACACACTTGATGTTTAAACATATATTATTTTAGCTATTGTGATAATACCCATGCCATGGATATATGTTCTTCTCTTTATTTTGTAAAACTAAAAACATTATCAGGGGTATCCATCACCCGGTCCTCCAAGGTTGTTGGCGCAAGAATCTATCTTCCAAAATATTTTATTGCTCACCTTTTCATAAAAACATACCAAGCGAAGGTAGAATTAGAAAAATAGTAGATCATAACTAATTACACTTTCTGCGATCTGTTCCATGTTTTTCCCTTGTCCTTTGGTATGAAAATTTCAATTCGAAAATTCATAATCCCACCAAAATGTGCCCTCTTCCACCACTAGCGGATCCAGAATTTAATTTTGGGGGTGCTTCAGCTCGAAGAATTTTTTTTTTCATATATATAACGATAATTAATTTGAAAAAAGAAAGAAATAAACTAACTACCCATATGGCGTGGTGTCTTAGTGATTCTTGAAGTCATATTGAATGTAATTACATGAACAATAATACTTTAAGACATAGTTTTTAATATTTTTTTCTATAAAACATGGTTATATTTTACCATTTTTGGGAGGGGGGGAGCTTCAGCCCGAAAGCCCTCCCCGTAAATCCACCTGTGTCTCCCACCAAAATTCAAAAATCTGCATATGAATCTATTGAATACTATGATTTTTTTTTAAATTAAAAGGATGAAAACATTTTTTTAAAAAATGACCCATCTTCTATTTATATTTTCTCTCACGGGATTTCTTCTCAACTTTTAACTCATGCCATATTTTCTACTTCCGTATTGTAAAAAAATGACTTTTGAGTAATGCATTTGCGTTACTCTGTCATATATTAAATATTTTATCTCTCAGAGATCTTAGGTCTTCCGAGCTTCGAACATTCAAATACGAATCGCTTTTCATGTCTTTGCAATTATTTCTCTTAAGTAAAATTCATTCCAAAATCTTGGAATGACAATGTTCAAAAGTTAATTAGCTTAAATCGATTCGCCTCAACTATAACCACAAGCGATATAACCACATGATGAGTTCTGATAATTCACCAGTAACCATCAAGAAGGTATTCTAAATTTAAACAGCCCGTAGATTCTAACCAAAATTTTCGATATATATTCATGATGTTTCGTTGTCGTCTAAAATAAAATGGAGGTTAATTATTTATTTTCGACAGTGTTGATAGGATTAAACTCGTTTTTCTTCAGTGTTCTTCCTTATGTTTTCTGATTCATTTTCAGTTATAATTGGCTATCGTTTCAGTGTTTTTCCGTAATTAAATAAGAATTTTGGCGAATTCGCTTGCGAAAGATGTACGTAGCTGTTTCAGAACTGACTACTACTTAGTCGTTCTTTAAACGATTCTTATTTCATGGAAACTCCAGATGATGGCTTGAAATGATGGACACTGGCTCGTCTCCAAAACTGACTTATTTCTTCCAGCGAGGTGATGATCGCGAAATGTACAAAGTGCCTCGGTTCTCTGTGAGTTTCACTTATTACACTAATTATCGTCATATTATACTTTATTAATTGGCTAATTTTATGTTACAATAATAATAATGTATAAACAGAATCAATAATTATCCTTAAGTTCTTTTTAGATTTATTTTGAGTAGATAAATTGTGTCTCATTTGATAACCGTTGTTTTTGAGAGCCTTAATGGCAAAATGATAAAAACTAAGTTTTGAATAAACGATAATTAACGTTAATCCTCTGCTGTGATGGCAATGCTTTTTCTACATTCACATACTTCTTTTTACACAAGTTTTCAGTGTTTCTAAACAATTCAAACGGTATAAATTTTTCGGCTCTCAGGAATAATGGATTTTGATGAATGAGGTAACGAACGAAAGACAATTTCATGGAGAAGTAAAGAACTCCAAATTTTAAAAGTTAAAACCTTGTTTTCATGTTATTTTTTTTTTTTACAAATAGATTTTTTGTTTTATTAATTAATACATTAATACATTCTGCCACATTGAAGAGCATTAATATTAGGACTACATTAATCATTCACACAATATGTACATATTAATTACAACAAAATAGATAATAAAGAAATATAGAAAATAAAATAAGAAAAGTGTTTTAATGTAAGAATCACAAGAGCCCCTAACAAAATTGGGAGGTTCCGAACCTCAGATGATTTAGATGGTTATAATTTCCCTCATAAAATTTAAAGGGGACCCTTCAAGGTCAATCGGAATTGCACTAATGACGTTCCGAATTGTCGTGTAAGGTAGTGAATGAAGTACTGATGGTGGTGCGCTGCGGATTTCCGAACGTCCGGAAATCAAAGGTTCATTCACGAGAAGTGGAGGGGGGACTGAGGTAAAAGTAGTGGGAAGACTAACCATACTGCTGGATAGGTTAGGTTACCTAGGCCTCACTACCATTATAAATTTCTGATTTTCATTATATATAAATAGTTAAATAATTTTTCAAATCCCTTGTTTAAAATTTTAAACCATCTTCAACTATTTCTTTTAAATAGTCAAGTGGGCAACAAAGTAAAAAAAAAAATGAGGAAACTTTATCGTTGTGTATATTTATCAGTTCTTTTCCCATTTTCCTCAACAAATTTATTATTTTCGCAATACCTTCCCTTAATTTTTGTAATTAGTAGACTTATATTTTACTAACTTTTGTCAAAACGATTTTCTATGAGACAACTACTAGATAGGTTAGTTTAGTCTATATTATTATTAACCATTTTCAACTATTTTTTCTTTAAATAGTCAAGTAGGCAATAAATTGAAGAGAAAAAAAAGTGGAAGCTTCACAATTTACTTATAGAAAAAAAATCTTTAAATATTTTCCAAACTTTGGTCTAAACGATTTTCAGGCATTAGGAAGTAATTATTATATCTCCGTTTTTCTCTTGATGCCTAATGTTATAAATGACAATGTCCAAATAAGCATATCTATGCTGTTTCTTTGTTTAAAACTGAGCTAAATTGGTATCAGCAACGATCAGTAATGATTGAACGTGTAAGGGTCTTCATGATCAAAGCGATAGCGGGCAATCTTGGAACTTCTTGTGATGTTCATTCATGAATTACCGTGTAGGGTCTGCTTAAGGTTTTACGTTTCAAGATACGTAGAATCTTGAACCTCCACCGTACGTCCCACAGTGGTGATGACCGATCCAGGAGGACAAAATTCATTGACCATAATGTTCGACTAGAAATCATGTATTTGTCACAAATAAATATAAATAAGAATTTTATGGTTTAAATTTATTTAATATAATATTAATTTATGATAAAAATACTACATTAAAAGAACATAGAATCTTCTATATATATTTTAATAGCTTTTTAATGTGAGGAGTTACAGCAAGTTAACTGTTTACTTAATTTAAAAGAAATTGCCGTTTTCGTTGTTTTTTTCCTAAAACTTTAAATCTATGCATCTCTTGAAAAAATTTATTATGATCACTTGAAAGAGTATTCAAATTTCTATATACCTCTTCTAGATAAGTTAATGTGTGAGAAGGTAAACAGCTGTCAAAGCACGGAATTGAAGTCGCATTTCAGTCGTAGTTCCCAACCGCACTTAAATTAAGCTCATTTTTTCGTTTTAATTCTTTTGATGTCGCTAATTTAACTATATTTATAATAAAAATATAATGTATATACCATTAATAGCTTTTATATATATTCTGTCGGCATGAAAGAAATCAACATTAAATTAATAAAAAAATTAAGAACTGAAATGCTCTCTACTGGCTTTTCATCTTTTCGTTAATTAACGATTATACCTGAGCTCACTAGAAAATTTGACGCTATTTCAATTTGAATTAAGCTTATGTAAAATTGTAGTAAACGAAACATTATTTCCTATTTATCAATAGTTTCAAAGTTATGAAGAGGGACAGAATTAAAGTCAAGAAAGAATCGCTTTTTTTTACTCCAAACAGATCAATTTACAGCTCGTTTATCATTTTTTCATCAGATGAACTTCGATGGAATCTAAAACTAACATCATTGGCGATTATATCAGTACTTGCATAATTCAAGATTGGTGGTTTTTGACCGAGATATGAGAAAAAAACATAACACAAGAACGTTCTTTTTTTAAGTTTGGGTGGAAAATATTAAAAAAATGTGTTCCAAGTATTTTTATAAATTCTCATCAAATTTGTATGTCTATAATTTCATTTGCCATTTAGTTTTGTTTTGGACGAGCATTGTTAACATGCCCTTGTTCAATACTGCAATAATTAATTTACCTATAAATCTTTACAAAATAATTCACCTTTACAATCCTTTTGGATGGTTGTAATGATCATATTACTAACTCATTAAGCGATCTGATCCGACAATATTGGAGGATTACGAGATAAGGTAGTGTTGTCAACGGTCGACAAACTCAGAAAGGAAGAGGGTAGAGTAACAGGTGAATTGATGAGTCCTAAACCCCGCTATCGCATGCGGGCTTTCGAGGTGAGACCTGTCACGGCTATTATATCGTCATATTGGCTTTATCTACCAATAAGGAGCTAAATGGGGTTTTATCTTTCATATACATGAATTTATTATATTTTTCATAAGGCAAAGAATCCATTTTTTTCCTTAAACCGTAAGGCCCCTTGAATAAAGTTTATTCAATTCCGATCCATTAGTCAAAAGTTCTGTTATTTCTTCGAGACGAGATATTCATTTAAATTGCTTCATAACTGAATAAATTCGCTGCATTTTATCATTCAGAGTTGTTCTAATGTAACTTTGAGCTGCAAAAACTCAGTCGTTGAGTAAGCCAACTGGGAGCCTTTGTCTGGAGCATCGGTCTGCTAATTTTCCGAGGTTTCAACGTTCCACATTCCGGGTTGCCAGTCGTAAAATTCTTTTTCCTCGCCATGTCGAATTTCATAAAAGCTGTCCGGCTATATCTCTTCCATTACTTGTGATATTCAAGATTCCGGAAGGACAGGATATCGGCCTGTCCGATCCTAGTGCGGTCGGGGCCTGCCCTTAGGGTAACGGAACATACTCTTCTCTTGGTAGGAAAAATCTCCTAGAGAAAGTAGCCCTAGAGTGTATACTGTAGCTGACCTTGTGTTGAGTGTAAGTTATTAGTGTACTGTTCTGGTGATTGTGCACGGTGTACTGAACTGTGGTAATCCGTGTGGGCGCTACTCCCCAAGTAACTGCATACATCAGTTACCTCTTGCAGGACCGATATGTGATATAAAATGTAAATGTGGAAAAAGGATTGCGGACTGATGCTTTACGGTGCAAGCATAAATTGACGACTGAAAGGAAGATAAATGGAGGGGAGGAGGAATAAACTGGAAAAGTGGGAGGGGGCGTCCTTTAATCTACGACCAAGGTAAAGTTATGATTGTAATAAAAGATAACACTTTATTCTGTTTCCGTCAGGCATAAACAAACAATGGTATTTAAAAACATTTTTAAAACCTCGTAAATACATCTAGTTACTAAATCTCTGTAATGTTTTCTTATCTATATTAGCTGTTAGTTTTATTGTTATTCATTTCACCGTTGAGTTCTACTTGAAAATGCATTTTTCTTGAAAATTTAGAGTCAGTTCTTATCCGACTGTCTGATAATACTTATTACTGCTAATAAGGGGGTGGTAAGTGAAAGTCGTGTGATGCGCTCACCAGATTTTTTAGTTTCTTATCATATCATGTCTGGATCCTAATCTTTTATGATGAATATAAATTTACATTACTATGACTGCTAGAATAACTGTATCCAACATAAGAGAAATGGATTCGCAAATTTTCTTTAAAACGTTGATAGATCATGAAATTATATAAAACGTATATTTATATTGAAACTTGGTGTAGTAGTCATTCACTGCACATTATGCCTTCTGGAAAGTGCATTTCGTTTCATGCATCGGTGCAGGTCAACATCCAACAGTTTTGAATAGGACAGCAACAAGTTTAAATATTTATAAACGACAATTTCACTAACAACCTAACAATTAGTTCAAGTGTCCATGAACTACAACCACCTTAAATTTTATAAGATTTTTTCTCTACACGGATTTCTCTACAATAGAGATAGAAGAGTAGCTCATTCACACTCAATGTACAATAAATAAAAATACATTAAATAGTAAAATAATAATACTAAAAGTAAATGTATATAAACAAAAAGAAACTAAATTAATCAAAACAACTAATTAAATACATACATCCCCATACCAGACTGAAACGACTAGAAACCGCCCGACGTTTTCGACTACTGTAGCACTTGCTAGACAAACGCTCTAAACTTCCAACTATTTACAAAAGACTCATATATATTACCATAATAATGCCTATTTGGACTTACGGGATCGAGCTTTGGGGCTCTATTAAACCATCAAATTCCTCTTATATCCAATCCCTACAATCCAATGTAATATTAATGTACCATATGTTTCCGATTTAGCTCAATCCAGATACCTATCCTTCAATAATAAATTTCTGAACCATCCGAACCCTCTTGTTTCCAACCTTGCT